TATTTCGTGTTTTATCACGATATCAGTTATTAGTATTTGAACCAACCCATATATATATATACACACACACACACACACACATTTGACAGATTAATTCAATATGATATATACTGTCGTTTTTTTCATCTGAATAGAACAAGACACTCATTTAATAGAAATTGACGATAACTTTCACATTGAATGACACGCAATACTGATTGATGTAAACGTGACCCAAGGTTTCCCAACACTAAATTGTAAATTTCCAATTGATTAGCAACGAGAGTTTGTTGTTGTTTAAAATTAATATCAAGAATCATTACACAATTTATGTTACAGACATTAACTCACAACACATGCCGTTGTGATGACTCATTGGCATTTATGATTGTTGATAGTGATTTCGCTGATGATCATTAGTCAATTACACGTATTTATCGTCTTCATCTTATCATTTGATTTTACGCCTTCTACATCGTTATATATATATATTTTTAGATATTTCAATTTTAGGTGTCGTTTAACGATCTTACCAGGTGAACATGACAAAAACGAAGAATCTTATCCGTTAAGAAATATAACAACGAAAGCGTTAATCAAGTAAGAGGCATTTCTTAACGATCTATTTTGATAACCGATAAGCGCTTAGCGTAAATATCTGATAAACAGATTTGTATCCAATTAGTAAATGTGTATTTTGGAGTAAGATTTAGGGGCCGTTTGGCAGTTGCTGAATGGTTTAGTGCAGGATGATTAAGTGGTCAGGATGATTAAGAGACTCTGTATGATTTAGTGTCAGATAGAAAAAGGTTGTTTGGAAATTGTTCTGAATGAACAGTCTGAATAACATAAAATTACCAWTTTACCCCCAGTCTTGTGTTTAATGAAAATTAACGTTTGACAACAGTTCTGAAGGAAATTTATAAATGAAAAATAGAAAATAATTAATAGTCCAAGCCAATACATAATATTATATCAATCCAAACAAGCATGACAATGTTTGTTCAAGTCTTGGCATAACAAAACATCACATGAAACACAACTTCAAACCCAATATTTTGATTACAATATCTAATTTGAAGCATTTAACACCAGTTGATTTGCAATCTCATTACGCAAATTAGTCATGTACTCACTGTCTTGGGGACCCCAAGGTGTTGCATTTATCTCTTCTTCCTCGCCTCCATCAATTTGTTCTTGTGCTTCA